TGGGGGGGGGGGGGTGGTGAGATTCATTAAGAGCTAGGTCAGACCTACCCAGACACTTAGTTCGAAAGTCTGGTGAGAGTTTTCTCATTTCAACAGTTTGTGTAGTCGTCACAGACTTGAAAAAGCCTCATCTCATGTCTAGTTGGGCTACATCTCTGAGTCGTCTCGCCCGGTCTAAAGGCCCGGTTACACGCAACGATAAATCATTGTTAAAAAACTGGACGATCTAGCAATCATACGATAAATCGTTAGGTGTAACCACAAAATTGTACAAAGTTTGGATGATTGGACGATGGCTTGGAGACTTGGTCGAGAAATCAAGCGCTGCTTGATATTTTCCGTGCAACCACTGTCAAATTTGGGGGAGACGCGCTGTGATGTAGAATCACTTTGAAAATTGCCGCCGCGCAGGATTAAACTTATTGCTCAAAATTTTAAAAATAATTATCGCTGGTAAAAACAGATTATTCGGAAATAACGTCTCAAAATAGGCAAAATTGCATGCGAAGCGACTTATTTGATGCGTTATTATGTATATTTAACCAATTTTATTATTAAGTTGGTCGCCAACGGTGAAGTTGTGTATCAAGGTCACTCAGTTCGTTGCACATCTGCAGTCAAGTCAAAGCTTCTCTTTCTACACACAACAGGGTACAGTAGGCCTATGGCCACCCTTTTCTAAAGACACTGTTCTGCCATTTATCAAAATGTACAGGGGAGGGTTGCTGTTTTTGTTGTTTTTTTTGGACAGCAAGGTGGGGGTAGGGAAGACTATCGTGATCTAGAGGCACAGTGTTCGCCTTTCATTCAATAGGTCCCGAGCTCGAAACCTTCACATAGAGTACAGGCAAATCGCTGTCGTCGCAAAGAGAATCGGTGGCTTTATGACGATGAATCTCCTCGATCGAAAGAAAACTGGACGATAGATTGGAACGTATAAATAGACAACACAGTTCGATAAAACGGACAGTTCTCGCATTCGACGAATCTGACACAATTTATCGTTGCGTGTAACCGGGGCTTTAGAACATCACCACTAACTTCACTGTCTAGTATCGCACATCTCAGCTCATCGATATTGTTCCAGTTAGAGTATTTTTGGTGATGAGTATATACAATACGAAATTCTAATTTTGGTGAAATAAAAAACAAATGTTATATAATGATCGTTTTATTACTGTTTTGTTTTCGATATCGTTGGTCTCCTCTGCTCTAAATGTCGAAAATGGGAGAAATAATGTTTCCTTTGTGTTTGATCGGGGAGACGCCAATTGTCGACCACATAGCCATTTCTGAATGTTGTTAGATTATTATTTTAATATTATGATTTTATCCCTGGGGTACTTCTACCAGACAACTAAGACTGTGTTTCCAGCGGGCTTGGTCGTGTCAGTGTGTAGGGGATCGGGCAACAGGATGCCGGACTTCAAGTGTGATGTGATCCTGAAGGAGAAGAAGCAGAGGAAGACCGAGAGACGATGAAAACAGTTTGATAGATTGATGCGTTAGCTTTTTACCCCTCCCCCCTTGCACACACACATAAGCGCAATTATTACCTTCATATTCACCCACCCCCCCTCTTCAGCCATTAACTTCATCCCTCCGTCATCCCCCATACATACACACACGCACGCCCACACACACACACACACGCGCACACACACACACACACACACACACACACACACACACACACACACACACACACACACACACACACGTGTGGTGTGAGAGTGTACACACACGCACAAACACACG